ACGGAAAATACAGCGTCCAAAAAAAAGAAATCGCGCAAAACATAAAAATAACAAAAATAGAGTTTGTTGACAATCGGGCCATCCCTGTTTTGAAGTGTTAGGACCCACTTCAAAAGATGCAGAGTTTTGTGTGCAAATGTTTTGGTATGTCTGAAATTATGAAACAACTATGACAAATGAAGCTTTAATTATGTGTCTTGTTTTCGACCGCTACAGCTCGACGATTTAGGTGTTAATATCTTACATGTTGCTCCAACAAAAAACGCTTCGTTGAAAAAATTAAGTTGATACTTTTGTAGAGCTTGCAATTCTCTATGTTTTGATACGTGAATATGTACTTTTTGCGAACAAAACGGAGAGAAAAATCTATTTACTTTCAGTACAATTTATTATGATCCACCCGTTATTTAAACCAGCAGGCGTTTTCGGAAAATTTTTTTTTTGCACTGGACGTCTAGGAAGGGAGCGTCTTCGAAACTGAACATACTTGTACAGTGGAGGGGGTCATAAGATATGATTTTTATCTAGGTGGTCTCTTACATAATTATTATTCTTTCAATTTGTTATACATTTCTTTTCCTAAATTAGCCAGGTCGAATCACCCCAACAGGATCCGACGATATCCGATAATGGAAACTTGTCGGATCAGACGAAATCCTATGATAGGAAAACATTCATCGGTACTTTATTTTAAACTTTTATTTAGTTTTAATTTTAATCTTAATTTTATTTATTTAATTTTAATTTTATTCTATTTTATATTCATCGTTTTTTATTTTTATTCTGCTGTTCTGCACTTTAATCACAGCGCCCTCACCCGCACACAATGCAGTATGTGGAAATTCCACCAGCCAGTATATAGATCTATTAAAAAGTGAGTAAAATTGTCTATATTTTATTTTATTCTGTGTTTTAAATTGTAGTACGACATGAAGTCTATAAACAGTAAGTAGAAACTGTGTATTTAATTTTTAATTTTTTGCTTTTTATTCTTTATTTTAGTTTTTTTTCTTACTTAAATTTAATTCATTTTTTTCTATTTTGTAATTTATTTTAGTTTATTTTAATTCTAGTATAATTGAGTTTATTTTATTCTATTTTATGTATTTCAATTATTTATTTTTAATTTTGTTTTATTGTGTTTAATTTTATTTTATTCTATTATTTTTAGATTGTATTACGGCATGAAGTCTATCAACAGTGAGTAGAAACAAATTATTAAATTTTTTATGTTATTAATCTTTATTGTAATTTATTTAATTCTTTTGCTTTTGTAATTTTAATTTTATTCAATTTAATTTTCTGTAATTTTACTTTTATTTAATTTTAATTTAATAAAAATTAAAAAGAACTATATTTAACTAATTAATTTGGAGCTCATTGCAGGCGAACAAGGAATTTTGAGGGTGTGTGTGAGGGGGGGGGGGGGNGCATATATTAGCAAATATCGGATTAAGAATTTTTCGAACTCTACAAATTCAATAGGTTGGCATGGTGCTTCGAGGGTATCTGACGTTTTCCGACCATCGGACTGGCTGTCGGAAATCATCGGATCCAACATCCGACAACTTCCTATCGGAATCCAATACCAAGGAACCTCACAATTTCCGGCAAGACCCTGTCGGAAGTTGTCGGATTTCTATCGGATAGTATTGGATTATTTGCGGGATTCGACGGGGTCCGAGTCTGGGATTGCTCGATCTGGGTTATGTTAAATTGGATCAAAAACAAAACACTAATAGATAAAACACAATTAATCATTCACCTGATGATGACCTCTGCATAAGGTCAAAACAAGGGGGAAAAGCGCGACTTCCGTACTTCCGTACTTCCTTTGTACTCCCCTGTACTTCACTCGTACTCCCCTGTACTTCTCTTGTACTTCCATGTACTTCACTCGTACTCCCCTGTACTTCTCTTGTACTTCCATGT